TAAACCGGGAGGCTCCATTTAACATACTTTAGACATGTTGTAAGGAGGGTCCAGTCCTTGGAGAGGGACATCATGCTTGGAAGGTTGGAAGGATAATGCAGGAGGAGAAGGCCCTCTGTGAGGTGGATTGATTCAGTGACTGGGGTAATCGGGATGGGTGTGTCGGAGACGGTGTGATTGGCACAGGACAGAGCAGAGTTTAGGGCTGTTGTACATAGGGTTGCTATGAGTTGCAAGCGATTCGACGGGACATAACAACAACAACAACATCAACAACAGTGCTATCCTAACAGAAATGTCACAAATGAAGCTTTAACAAGCAGAAATTTATTTTCTTGGTTTAGGAGACCAGAAGTCTAAATTTAGGATGTGAACTCTAGGGGAAGGCTTACTCTTTGTTGACTCTGGAGGAAGACAGAGTAGAAATGACCCATAGGGCTTTCTAGTCTAGAAATCTTTGTGGAAAGGGACTGTCTTGTCTCCTGAATAGAGGGGGATGGATTTTTTGGTTAGAAATCAAGCAGTTAACCATTGTGCCACTAGCACTCCATAAGTAACCTCTTATGCCCTATCAATAAAAACTCATTTAGCTTTCAAGACTGTTCTAAATCAATTTCTTATTACTTCTCACCATAAATACCCCCCCCAAATTAATGCCATCAAGTTGTAGCACTGAAGAAGAGTAGAGAACAAACAGATATATGCTTTAGAGAGGGTATAGACAGGATGCTCCTTCCAAGAAGGATGGTGACACTTCATCTCACATACTTTGGGGATGGTGTTAGGAGGGGCCAGTCCTTGGAAAAGGACACCATGCTTAGAAACGTGAAGGGTTAGCAAAGGAGGGGAAGACTCTCAACAAGATGGATTTACACAGGGACTGTAACAATGGGTTAAGAGATGATGAGGATGGCACAGGATAAGGCAGGTTTCAGATGTTATTCACAGGGTTGCTAGAGTTATAATCAATTTGAAGGTGCCTATTAAGAACAACACTACCAATAAGTTGATTCTGACTTATGTGACCCAATAGAGACCCCTAGTGCAACCATCAGTGACCCTACAGGATAAAGGAGTGGCCTGTGGAGACCTGGTAGTGTAGACAGTAGGTGCTACACTGCTAACCAAAAGGCTGCGCATCTCTGGTAGTCTGACTCCACCAGCACCTCCAGGGGAAACAGGATGCACAGTCTCCCCATTAAGACTTACGCCCTCGGAAACCTGATGGAGGGGAGCACTGTCGGAATCAGCTCTCCAGCTGGGAGTCTGGCTTGCATTATAGTACAGAGTAGAGCTAGATCATACGATTTCCTAGGCTACAGCTCTTTAGGGAAGTGGACTGGCACATCTTTCTTTCATAGAGTACCTTAGGTTCGAACTGTCAACCTTTCAGTTTGCAGCCAAAAGCTTTAAGGACTGTGCTGCCAGGTTTCTTATGACAGATGTTGTTAGGTGCCATCGAATTGAGTACGACTCATAGTGACCCTGTAAACAAAAGATCTGAACCTAGTCCTGTCCTGGGCCATCCTCATACTTCCTTACACACAAGATCCCATTGAAGCAGTCCATCCACCGGTTGAGGGTCTTCTCCTCTTTCGCCGACCCTCCACCCCT